ATAGCAACAATAACTAAGAAGGGCAGGTTTTTCTCGAACAGTCAGTTGTGAGATATAAACTCATATTTACTTTTTTTTTTAATTCCTTGGTAGAAAAAAGCTTCCATAGATATGAGACACGAAACTAGCACAAATGTACCATGTCAATTCATAAATAAAACATTTACTGCAGAATGTTGCAACTGGCCAATCAGAATCAAGTAATCTATAGAGCCACATAACAAACTTGTCTTATTGGTAGGAATCTTCACCTCTCAGATTCTCCAGTAGAACTCCTAAAATATGAGGAGGAAATCATGATATGTGTCGTCATGTTTTTGTGACAGCTGCAGAAACTGGCTTTTTCTGTTTGTCACAATTATGCAAAGAAACAGCTAAATAATTCATCATAAAGACTACATAAAATATGTGCATTACTATTTAAAGGTTTTCAAAAAAAGAATTGTGTACTTTTATTCAGCAAGCATGCATTAATTTGATCAAAAGTGACACTAGGGATATTTATAATGCTATACAAGATTTCTATTTCAAATAAATGCTGTCCTTTTGAACTTTATATTAATCAAAGAATCCTGAAAAATAAAATGCATCACAGTTTCCACAAAAAACATGAAGCTGCAAAACTGTTTTAAACATTGATAATAATCAGAAATGTTTCTTGAGCTGCAAATCAGCATATTAGAATGATATCTGAAGATCATGTGGCACTGAAGACTGGAGTAACGATGCTGAAAATACAGCTTTGTTCACAGCAATCAATTACATTTTACAATACATTCACATAGAAAACACTTATATTAAATTGTAATAATAAATCAATGTTTTGTACAGCATTACTGATCAAATAAATGCAGCCTTGATGAGCCTTCGTTCAAAAACATTAAAAAAGCTTACTGGCTCCAAACTTCTAAAAAGTAGGGTATATAAGGCAAAACACGTATTCATGGCTGATAAGAAATTTTTATTATTTATTTAAAAAGTGAATTTAGAGCTGTTTATGTGTGTTTGCTCAACAGTCCATGACCTGACAGTAATGCAGAGTCAGTGTGTGTAAGACCTCGGTTTGCCCTCTGCATGAAGAAAGGAGGGATTAGATTCTCTAAAAGCTTTCGAGGTGGTGCAGCAGAAACCCTGACAGCATCTGAGGTCTTAATTAGAGGTGTGTGGCTGCCACTGAAAAGAAAATTTGTCCCGGGGAGGAACAACAGCTGAGGGGTGGAGGGCACACACACCATTATTTCTTGAGCAGGTTTTAATGACGGCCCCCTTCCCTCTTGTTCTGTTTTCCCTGTAATTGCACTCAAATAGTCCAGGGCATCATTCAGCATTCAAACACTGAGCGTTCAGTCTATTCAAACGTGTCAGCTGGGGAACAGAAAGCTGCCGCGGGCAAAATAACCGCACAGGGGTCAACAGCTTAGAAATACACGTGATTAATGGCCTAACTTGGTCATTTAATGCTTTAATTAATCAGAAAAAATGTATTAATGTTTGGTAGAGAGTAGCAGAATAGTTCAAGAGTGACCACGTCTGTCAAGCAACAAGAACAACAACAAAAAGCAATGGAATTATTTTATTATATTATTGGAATTTTTAATCATTTATTTTTACTAGAAATATTCTGAGAAAATGTAATGTTTGGTAGAGAAGGTATCCGAGTAGCAGAATAGTTATAGTGAAACTGGTGATTGAAGTTGTTTTTTTTTTTTGGAAAATAAATTAATGTTTTTATTCTGGAAAGACACATTAAAGTGGTTAAAAGTGATACCAAATACATTTATGATGCTTAAAAAAATTCAACTTCAAATAAATATATATATTTTATTGATATAGTTTTATTATTGCAATCGTTTTAAATTACTCGAAACATTTTATGAGAAACATTTAATTAAGGCAGCTTCTAAGATTCTATTTATACTGTTAAAATAGTAGGATTTTCTGCTATTTATACATCTTATTGCAAATAGTGGCAATTATCTGCACCTCAGTATCGTAGTACATTATAAAACAGAACGCAATAATAATGTATTTTGAGTGTAAATTGTAATATTAATTCAAATTATTAAATGGATGCCACCTTATTGCAACAATAAAGCCCTCCCTACATACCCGATACATTATTTTCAACTTTTCAATTATTTCCTTAATTTTTATTGAAAATAAATGCCGTTCCAAAGTGATGTGAGATTTGGAAAGAGAGGAAAAAGTTCAGCGAAAGGCAGGTTAGAACTCGGGTCGATCGTTTCAAAGAGACTACGGTCCGCGCTTTAACATCTACACCACCGGAGCTGATGATTACCAGTCATTCAATTCAATTCAAGTTTATTTGTATAGCGCTTTTCACGATGCAAATCGTAGCAAAGCAGCTTTACAGAAAGTTACTACATTATATTTAGTAATAGCTTATCAGTGGTGACTATCTCAGGTTGATGTCCATATGGCAGTTAGTTAATGTCATGTAATGCAATATTTGGTCGTTTTGTATGTTGTCTGAGGGTTGGCATCATCTCTTCTCAGGTCTTTGTAAGGGCTAGATCCAGACTGAAGCTTGTGTAATTGCTAGTAGGAACAGTTAGAAGGCAATAGAGAAAAATTAGCGTAGCTGCTGTTCCAACTAAGCAAAAAATGATGTGTTCAACCCAAGCTAAAGAATGAAAATGTGCATTTGATCAGATGTAACTGCAGTACAAGATTATGAGATGCATTATTTGAATGCTTGGCCAAATAGATGTGTCTTTAATCTAGATTTAAACGCATCATCTCTTCTCATGTGTTCTGGATCCAGACTGAAGCTTGTGTAATTGCTAGTAGGAACAGTTAGAAGGCAATAGAGAAAAATTAGCGTAGCTGCTGTTCCAACTAAGCAAAAAATGATGTGTTCTACCCAAGCTAAAGAATGAAAATGTGCATTTGATCAGATGTAACTGCAGTACAAGATTATGATATGCATTATTTGAATGCTTGGCCAAATAGATGTGTCTTTAATCTAGATTTAAACAGAGAGAGTGTGTCTGAACCCCGAACGTTATCAGGAAGGCTATTCCAGAGTTTGGGAGCCAAATGCGAAAAAGCTCTACCTCCTTTAGTGGACTTTGCTATCCTAGGTACTACCAAAAGTCCAGAGTTTTGCGACCTTAGGGAGCGTGATGGATTGTAGCGTGGTAGAAGACTAGTTAGTTACGCAGGAGCTAACCCATTTAGGGCCTTAAAAGTAAGTAGATATATATATATATATATATTTCAAATAAATGCTCCAAATGTTCTTTTGAACTTTATTAATCAAAAATCCTGAACAAAAAACACAATGAAAGTCTACTTCTATTAAAAAAGCAGTGTATATAGAAATATACAGTATATAGTATATGTGAAAGTCTAGTTCTATTTTAAAAAAGAAGAGAACCTTGGACCACAAAACCAGTCATAAGGGTCAATTTTTTTTAATTTACACATGAAAGCTGAATAAATAATCTTTCCATTGATGTATGGTTTGTTAGGATAGGACAATATTTGGCTGAGATGCAACTATTTGAAAATCTGGAATCTGAGGGTGCAAAAAAATCTAAATATTGAGAAAATCATCTTTAAAGTTGTTCAAATGAAGTTCTTAGCAATGCATATTACTAATCAAACATTAAGTTTTGATATATTTAC